AAGACAAGGTTTGTATTGACATATAAATACCTAACACAACGTAATGTTTTATCGGGTAAATGGAAACAAGGTTTGTATTGACATATAAATACCTAACACAACGTAATGTTTTATCGGGTAAATGGAAACAAGGTTTGTATTGACATTTAACACATGTTTTTCGCATATAATTACCTAACAAAGTGTAATGTTTTATCGATTAAATAAAGACATATATTACCTAACACAATGTAATGTTTTATCGTAATGATTAAATGGAAAAAGGTTTGATTGACATATTACCTAACACAATGTAATGTTTTATCGATTGAATAAAGACGATATTACCTAACACAATGTAATGTTTTATCGATTAAATAAAGACGATATTACCTAACACAATGTAATGTTTTATCGGGTAAATGAAGACAAGGTTTGTATTGACATATAATTACCTGAAACACTATATTTTTAAAGGGAGACGACATTTCCATTCGCATATAATTACCTAACAAAGTGTAATGTTTTATCGATTAAATAAAGACGATATTACCTAACACAATGTAATGTTTTATCGATTAAATAAAGACGATATTACCTAACACAATGTAATGTTTTATCGATTAAATAAAGACGATATTACCTAACACAATGTAATGTTTTATCGATTAAATAAAGACGATATTACCTAACACAATGTAATGTTTTATCGATTAAATAAAGACGATATTATCTAACACAATGTAATGTTTTATCGATTAAATAAAGACGATATTACCTAACACAATGTAATGTTTTATCGATTAAATAAAGACGATATTATCTAACACAATGTAATGTTTTATCGATTAAATAAAGACGATATTACCTAACACAATGTAATGTTTTATCGATTAAATAAAGACGATATTACTTAACACAATGTAATGTTTTATCGATTAAATAAAGACGATATTACCTAACACAATGTAATGTTTTATCGTATTAACTTCAAGAAGAAAGTACCATTTTTATAGATTCTGGTTTGTTTTGATCTGGGGAAAGAGCATCGCTTTCCTCACTTGGCCGATCGCTTAACTGAAAGACCAAAAACGATGAGGAGTTAAAAGAAACTTTCAGAAAGATAAAAACCCAAAGCTTTGCCACTCTATACAATACAGTAATAGACGCAACAGGTACACTCTTTATACTGCAGAGCATAGGTAAATAAATCTCTTGTTCGGTAGCCCACTGTAAAACATGGCACGCTGTCGGGTATGTAATTGTAGGCCAACATACTTCATTAATAGATATAAAATTTTACTCATGGTCTGATAAGTCATTTAAGCAATACTTTTGAGTATATACACTGGAAAATTTCGTTTAAATCGCTGGAAATTTGCGAAGTACTTTAATTTTAATTAGATATATCGATGATGTCTTGTTTTTGAATGTCAGGCCCTTTCTTGTTTATGTTTATCGCATATCTCCACTAGAATTAGAAATCAGGGATACTTCAAACTCTTTTAAGTTAACCATTGAAGTCTATATTTACTTACAACGCAACCACAACGAATGAAATAAAATTATGCTGTGTGATGACCGTGATAATTTAGAGTACCTTACTGGGATTTTTCCATTTCTAGATAGTAACAATTCTGTTCCCGATTTAAAAATGTCTCAGTTGGTTCGATGTTCAGGAACTTGTTTTCAGTATAACGATTTCCTTGAAATATGTTGAAAATGACACTGATGCCTCATTGGGAAATACTCTATATCTTTGTGCGATATCAAGTTTACGTTCGTTAATTGTTAGTATAGACTGGTTCTCATTTACATATTGATTTCCTTTTTTTATAAACTTAACGAAAAATGCAATAACTCCCTGGCTTGATTTTTATAAGTCTAATTTATTCAGACTCAAAATCTCAACACAAAATTAATCAATGGTCATTATCTGTAGTATAAGCAAGGAAGTTTTTATTAATCTTCTAACATAAATGTTCATGAAGTAAAGATAAACGACGAGCAGCAATCATTGTTAGAAATAACCCTTTTCCATTTTCCCAAAGGATTTCAGCTAGTTTCAATAAGAAACAAATGTGGTTAACTTGTATATATCAAAACACGAAAAGCCAATTAGTTCTATATTTACATGGCAGGTTGTTTCATTTCTACGAGATATCTTTATGTTGCATTCACTTTGAGACACCGACAAGGAAAGACTAAAGTGCATATACTTAATACTGCTTTCAATTACCTACATTAAGTGTGGTGAAACACAAGGAAGTAATATATGAAACATATTTTATTTTATTCTCTTCTTATCATTTGTAAGTGCTTGTCATTAAACAACACACAGCGGTTATTAATTAGATAATACATCACGCAATTTATGGAAAGAAAATAATAGAATAATTAGTGTAGAAACAGAGACTAAAGTTAACCGTAAATAACGACCGAAACAGACGAGAATGAACCGAGTTATTGTACCAACGATTTAACAATGAGGAAATTTTCATGTCAGATTTTGTCAATGCGGAAGTAGACACGTAAAGACGTCAACGCTTTCTGTTATTTATTTTACTATAAACAAAACATAAAAAATCCACATCGACTTGGTAATGTTTTTATGATGCTAAGGACGGCATAATATTTATATTCAATATGGATTTATGTTATATTATTCATACATTTCGCTGAGCTGATATTTACATTGAACTCCTCAACACAATATCCCGGATGTTCTTCATACCAAACACTGCGTTATATCTATTGTCATTTGTAACCATTATCTTGACATGTGTTTTAGTGTAAGGAATTCAATTTGATATGTTCTGTAATTACAAAATCTATAAAGGTTTATGGATGACGTCTGCCATTTGGAATGAAGGATCGACAATGACGTAATGTGTGTAATTGTTCAGGCTTGGAGTTATTACGACTTATGTCATACAACGACTGTGTACAAAGATAATAGAATTAGTCACTTTAAATACGATCTCACATACAAAGCCATGACCCCGAGACTGCAGTATAGTGATAGACCAAGTCTTAATGACGAGAAACAGAATAAAGGTAATACATACAATCTGAAGTATCGCTAAGGAAACAAGGGACATTTTTGTAATTTTTTGTTTTAAATGGAACGGAGTTTGTGAGAAGAGAAATCAGAAATATAATTTGGTATGAAGTATTTAGATACGGTCATACGGTCATATTATCTAGTTAGTGTGGAATTACTACCACGATGCCTTTATCTATATACCAAAATATCAACTTCTGGAAAGTAGGTTGCGCTATATATATGTTACTCCAGACACACATCTTTCTATTAAAAGGAGGAAACATATACATTAAATGCCGAGAAACTTTTATCAAAACATTCCATGTAGGACCAAGATTAGCGTTTAAAGATTTAAGCTGTGATTCAAACATCCTGAAGACTTCCATATACCACGACCATTAACTAATCATAACCGTTGCAAGTATGGAATACACAGCTTTGTGCGGAATCTGATTGAAGATATTTGTGTGATTCTTCTACACACATACATATTGATGTGCGTACTAGCGCTGTCGAAACCTGTAAACATTTTGGCAGGTTATAGATGTTCCCAGCAGGACAACCATATTAATAAAGTACTAGTGTAGTGTCTGAACGGCACAAACTGTAGCAAACTTCAGAAGTACAGCAGCTAATTTGAGTGAAAGAAAAAGATTCTCTAAAGCAGCTGCTTCAAGGATTCCTATCAATCACTGCATGTGTTGAAGAATAAGGAGTGGAGTCAGTTTAGTACCTTGTTTTGTTTTTTGGTGAAAGTCGTCCACTTTTTATTTATCCAGGCTATTGGTTGATTTGGATATCACTTGGAGTACCATTGAATATAGATACTATGTAAAGATGCTGTTAGTAAAGATAACTTATACTAATCCTCATTGTGACACATGTTACACGTGTCCTTAGGTATTGTAGCCAGAATTTGAAAAGCATTTTTATTTACGGGCAAATAACACAGCACATACTGGTAGATATAATTTATGTTATCCTATGTCTGTAATCCATATCATAATACATATATGCCAAAACAATCTCCAACATCTGTACATCATCATCCGTTTGTAAAGTACACACATAGAATAATACCTCAAACGCCTTGATGTATAAAACAATTACGAACTGTGTTCCTTCTGCCACAATGTAAAAAGCTGCCGCCGACAAAATCGGTCTGAAGTGAAAGTAAACAATGCTGACGGGTTTTGTGTTCCTCCTATCAGCATTGGATCAATTCTTAATAGACTTTTCGATATTTCGGCATTACTATAAGGGAACTCGAAAACAATCACATTTTTTCAAACATACTGTCCATCAATTCGTTTTAAACTTCCAAAACTCACGTTAATGAGACTTTTGATTGCAATTGACAAGGTAATGTAAGAAAACATAGACATGCTACACATCTGGATGGTGTCGAGAACTCGACAGGTGTAAGACGTGCGCACAAGAGTTAGAGAGATTGACAAGACAAGTGATAGCAACGAATCACTCAAATATACCCGTGTCTCTGTAATTACTATTACATGTGTGGAACAGCTTCAACACAGTCTGCATCCGATAGAGAACCTCGGAGCGTTACACTACAGATGATAATCAGCTCTCAGTATATATAAACGACCTACATACGAACATCTTCATGACGGATGGTCTACACACATGTAAAGTATATATAATGACTGTTGCATTAGGTACAGGAAGAGAATACAAGACCACTATTTAATTTACAACTGTTGAAACGACTGCCTTCGTTTACCTAGCGCTGAAGTATATACATTTATATGCAATTTTATCAAAATCAGAATATTAAATAACCTGCAATAGTGAATTATAAAGTTATATATAAACAGTGCAATTTGACGAATCTAACAAAAAAAAAAAAAAACAAAAGGGAGAGGAAAGGTAGACAGATAAAAGGAAAACAGACATACACAAGAAAGTAAAAGGAGAAATCCATAGAATGATAGACTGAGAAGGAGATCGTTACCTGATTTTCCCACTCCAAGTTCTCCTAGAAGGACAATGTTGTAGTCAGGACTATTTCCGTTCCGGTGGGAAACTCGTTTTCCACTCATAATGACAATAGTTTCCTCTTTACAACCTTTCAATAAAACATTTGTTAATCTTTACAGCAAGTGCTAAGATCCATTGAAACAATGAAGAAACATTTTCACCACTTAAGATGTGTCCCGAAGTCTTACGTGTGAACCGTACCAGGGTATGAATGAGACCGCGACTGCGTGTACCTACACCTCTAACTAAAACTGTACTATCTTCCGGCAGAGTTTTTACTGGGATCTCACTCGCTGATTGCGCTCAAGCCTGGTGCATTCATGTGGAATTTGGCACAACAGACCTTAACATATGAAGTTTCCATCTGCACGTGAACAGCAGAGGCTGTTGAAGGCCAAACGCATGGTTATGGTACATCCATTTGCCTGCCCTGAAAGTGTGGTTTATTATGCGAGACATGCTTCACTACACATCACAGCCAACACGGGGTCTGTGAACTTTTAAAGCATCAGTTTGTTGAGAAGTAAAACTCCACCAGAACTATTATTGTACATTATATTGTTCCTAAATGTACATCGTCTCTGTTTTACTTAAGTAGGAGACATTTGTGTTATTACTGCAAAAATATGTGGAGTTATCGGTCCTTTCTTTTGGATTGCTGATGAAGGCCGTTTATAATCATATGCTCATCGATTTATTTGGAACATTTGTTTTCAAATTAGTCTAAAATCAAGTCCATTGCATGTGGTACATGTTTTATATATCAATTCAATACGTTTGAAGATAATATCGGGTTGTAAGATTCCTAAGGTGTAACATTAATCCCTTTGAAGCATTTGAACCCATTTTATTTCGGGGGGTGGGGGGTGGTAGGTGGGGATTGTATTTTGTATCGCCGTTCTTTAAACAGTATCAGGTAATGTTACATAATGTTAATTATTTGCAGTTCGTTTTTAGAAATTTTACCTTCATTTTTTATAACTTAAGCTGTATACAGTTATTCAGGTGTTGAGTTTGAATTAAGGTTCTGTTAACATGTTGATATCTCCTTTGTTGTTCTCGTTACTGACAAATCGACAATGTGTACCAAACATAATAGGTGACGAGAGTGAGATACCGGACTCATAATGTGTATCCAACATAATAGGTGACCGGAGATTGTTACCGGACTTACAATGTGTACCCAACATAAAAGGTGACCACAGTGTTTTACCGGACACACAATTTGTACCCAACAGTTACCGGACACACAATGTGTACCCAACATAATAGGTGACCGGAGATTGTTACCGGACTCAAAATGTGTACCCAACATAATAGGTGACAGGAGATTGTTACCGGACTCACAATGTGTACCCAACATAATAGGTGACAGGAGTGTTTTACCGGACACACAATTTACCGGACACACAATGTGTACCCAACATAATAGACTCACAATGTGACCCAACATAATAGGTGACCGGAGGTACCGGACTCACAATGTGTACCCAACATAATAGGTTACCTGAGTTTTTTACCTGACAAACTATTTACCGGACACACAATGTGTACCCAACATAACAGGTAACCAGTGTGTGTTACCGGACACACAATGTGTACCCAACATAATAGGTGACCGGAGATTGTTACCGGACTCACAATGTGTACCCAACATAAAAGGTGACAGGAGATTGTTACCGGACTTTCAATGTGTACCCAACATAAAAGGTGACAGGAGATTGTTACCGGACTTACAATGTGTACCCAACATAATAGGTGACCGGAGATACCGGACTCACAATGTGTACCCAACATAATAGGTGACCGGAGTGTTTTACCGGACTCACAATGTGTACCCAACATACTAGGTGACCGGAGATACCGGACTCACAATGTGTACCCAACATAATAGGTGACCGGAGTGTTTTACCGGACACACAATTTACCGGACACACAATGTGTACCCAACATAATAGGTGACAGGAGTGTTTTACCGGACACACAATTTACCGGACACACAATGTGTACCCAACATAATAGGTGACAGGAGTGTTTTACCGGACTCACAATGTGTACCCAACATAATAGGTGACCGGAGGTACCGGACTAACAATGTGTACCCAACATACTAGATGACCAGAGTTTGTTACCGGACTAACAATGTGTACCCAACATAAAAGGTGACCGGAGTGTTTTACCGGACACACAATTTACCGGACACACAATGTGTACCCAACATAATAGGTGACCGGAGAGTTTTACCGGACACACAATTTACCGGACACACAATGTGTACCCAACATAATAGGTGACCGGAGATTGTTACCGGACACACAATGTGTACCCAACATAATAGGTGACCGGAGATTGTTACCGGACTCACAATGTGTACATAAAAGGTGACAGGAGATTGTTACCGGACACACAATGTGTACCCAAAACATAAGGTGAGGTGTTTTACCGGACACACAATTTACCGGACACACAATGTGTACCCAACATAATAGGTGACCGGAGATACCGGACTCACAATGTGTACCCAACATAATAGGTGACTGGAGTGTTTTACCGGACACACAATTTACCGGACACACAATGTGTACCCAACATAATAGGTGACCGGAGATTGTTACCGGACTTACAATGTGTACCCAACATAAAAGGTGACCACAGTGTTTTACCGGACACACAATGTGTACCCAACATAATAGGTGACCGGAGATTGTTACCGGACACACAATGTGTACCCAACATAATAGGTGACAATACCGGACACACAATGTGTACCCAACATAAAAGGTGACCACAGTGTTTTACCGGACACACAACATAATAGGTGACCAGGAGATTGTTACCACACAATGTGTACCCAACATAATAGGTGACAGGAGTGTTTTACCGGACTCACAATGTGTACCCAACATAATAGGTGACCGGAGATACCGGACTCACAATGTGTACCCAACATAATAGGTGACCGGAGTGTTTTACCGGACTCACAATGTGTACCCAACATAATAGGTGACCGGAGTGTTGTACCCAACATAATAGGTGACCAGGTTTTACAATTTACCGGACACACAATGTGTACCCAACATAATAGGTGACCGGAGTGTTTTACCGGACACACAATTTACCGGACACACAATGTGTACCCAACATAATAGGTGACCGGAGTGTTTTACCGGACACACAATTTACCGGACACACAATGTGTACCCAACATAATAGGTGACCGGAGTGTTTTACCGGACACACAATGTGTACCCAACATAATAGGTGACCGGAGTGTTTTACCACACAATGTGTACCCAACATAATAGGTGACCGGAGTGTGTGTACCCAACACACAATTTACCGGACACACAATGTGTACCCAACATAATAGGTGACCGGAGTGTTTTACCGGACACACAACGGATAACAGGACACAATGTGTACCCAACATAATAGGTGACCGGAGATACCGGACTCACAATGTGTACCCAACATAATAGGTGACCGGAGGTACCGGACTAACAATGTGTACCCAACATAAAAGGTGACCACAGTGTTTTACCGGACACACAATTTACCGGACACACAATGTGTACCCAACATAAAAGGTGACCACAGTGTTTTACCGGACACACAATTTACCGGACACACAATGTGTACCCAACATAATAGGTGACCGGAGATTGTTACCGGACACACAATGTGTACCCAACATAATAGGTGACCGGAGATTGTTACCGGACTCACAATGTGTACCCAACATAAAAGGTGACAGGAGATTGTTACCGGACTTACAATGTGTACCCAACATAAAAGGTGACCACAGTGTTTTACCGGACACACAATTTACCGGACACACAATGTGTACCCAACATAATAGGTGACCGGAGATTGTTACCGGACTCACAATGTGTACCCAACATAATAGGTGACAGGAGTGTTTTACCGGACTCACAATGTGTACCCAACATAATAGGTGACAGGAGTGTTTTACCGGACTCACAATGTGTACCCAACATAATAGGTGACCGGAGATACCGGACTCACAATGTGTACCCAACATAATAGGTGACCGGAGTGTTTTACCGGACACACAATTTACCGGACACACAATGTGTACCCAACATAATAGGTGACAGGAGTGTTTTACCGGACTCACAATGTGTACCCAACATAATAGGTGACCGGAGATACCGGACACACAATGTGTACCCAACATAATAGGTGACCGGAGTGTTTTACCGGACACACAATTTACCGGACACACAATGTGTACCCAACACAATTTACCGGACACACAATGTGTACCCAACATAATAGGTGACAGGAGTGTTTTACCGGACTCACAATGTGTACCCAACATAATAGATGACCAGAGTTTGTTACCGGACTAACAATGTGTACCCAACATAAAAGGTGACCACAGTGTTTTACCGGACACACAATTTACCGGACACACAATGTGTACCCAACAACATAAAATAAAAGGTGGTGACCACAGTGTTTTACCGGACACACAAATTTACCGGACTCACAATGTGTACCCAACATAATAGGTGACCGGAGGTACCGGACTAACAATGTGTACCCAACATACTAGATGACCAGAGTTTGTTACCGGACTAACAATGTGTACCCAACATAAAAGGTGACCACAGTGTTTTACCGGACACACAATTTACCGGACACACAATGTGTACCCAACATAATAGGTGACCGGAGATTGTTACCGGACACACAATGTGTACCCAACATAATAGGTGACCGGAGATTGTTACCGGACTCACAATGTGTACCCAACATAATAGGTGACAGGAGTCACAATGTGTACCCAACATAATAGGTGACAGGAGTGTTTTACCGGACTCACAATGTGTACCCAACATAATAGGTGACAGGAGTGTTTTACCGGACTCACAATGTGTACCCAACATAATAGGTGACCGGAGATACCGGACTCACAATGTGTACCCAACATAATAGGTGACCGGAGGACACACAATGTGTACCCAACATAATAGGTGACCGGAGTGTTTTACCGGACACACAATTTACCGGACACACAATGTGTACCCAACATAATAGGTGACAGGAGTGTTTTACCGGACTCACAATGTGTACCCAACATAATAGGTGACCGGAGATACCGGACTCACAATGTGTACCCAACATAATAGGTGACCGGAGATACCGGACTAACAATGTGTACCCAACATAATAGGTGACCGGAGATTGTTACCGGACACACAATGTGTACCCAACATAACAGGTGACCGGAGATTGTTACCGGACTCACAATGTGTACCCAACATAATAGGTGACAGGAGTGTTTTACCGGACACACAATGTGTACCCAACATAATAGGTGACCGGAGTTACCGGACTAACAATGTGTGCCCAGCATAATAGGTGACCATAGTGTGTTACCGGACACACAATGTGTACCCAACATAACAGGTAACCAGTGTGTGCTACCGGACTCACAATGTGTACCCAACATAATAGGTGACAGGAGTGTTTTACCGGACTCATAATGTGTACCCAACATCATAGGTGGGCGGAGTTTGTTACCGGACTTACAATGTGCACCCGACACTGTAAATTCAGAATATTTAGTTACACTTTTTCATCAAATACGGGATACAGGATGCATGACTAGAAATCTATTATAATAATATTATATTCTTGTAGAATACCTTGATGGCTTCCATTTATATTGATATTATGAAAGGCTTAACCGATGAAGATATACCAGTTTCTGATTTACTGTTTAATAGGCACAGTGTTTAAAGAAAACTGACACAAAATTAATGTCATTTGGTCCCAGATGTTCAGAGAAAATATCGATCGAATTGTGCTACATTGATAATCCTTTATCGATCTTATGTGAACAAACGCGTGGAAGCCTATGACGCAGAAGACATTGCTCTTTCGCAAACCTGATGTTATTATTCTTGTGCTTTTTCAGGAGTCTACGTAAAATCTTTCTTATATTCTTAATTCGTAATATCTTATTGAATTTGAGTTCGGATTATGATTTTGGTGATATGTTTTGTCTTGTTCTTATGTACATTTAAAAATCATGTCTAATAAAAACAAAGTACTCTCAGAATCTTAATTCCTACTTTTATTTGATGAAACTAGGGGAAAATATCTACAAACGATTTACAAAACAACTCATGAAAATTACCTAGTATATAAAAAACTTGGCGTTTGGGAAGGATAAGCGTCTTATGTTTTTTCAACATTACTCGCCATGTTCATTTTGTGACAATACAAGTAAGTAATGCATGTTCCCAAATGAGAATAAGGTAAACATCATATACTGTCATTGCAATCGTTTATTTTCTTCACAAAGCAAACACTAAATCTAGATGTATCGTAACTGGATAATTCTACACGAATAAAGGAAATGGTTGATTTTCTTTCTGTATCTTATAATAATGATAAATTGTAATGCTGATGAAAATCATTTCCCAAATCAATCAAGAAAAAATATTGCTTCATTTTCCACAGTGCACTGCATCTTTGCTACTGTTTTGTTTTCAAATTCAATGTTACACATTAAAATGCCAACCCTTTTATATTTCAATATAGGTTTGAAGAGCATTTGATTTCCCTTGATCGCCTCTAAGGTCAGAACATTATAGACAAATGGCTAATCAGAAAAGGAACAGTATTTCATTATTTGGTATATACCTATCAACTATTACTTCACGATGATATGTACTTGTATGTCTTTTGTTCTCGATGATTAAAATAGGAAAGACAAACCGAATATATATGTATGTAGGTACTTAGAGCGGCTGATAATAACCAAATTACACCCGAGACTGTTGTTCAAGATTTTAAGCTAGCGAACACGAGCTATTCCTAATATCTGTAAATAGTTATATATATATATATAATCATATATATAATCAAGTTCAATCTATGAAAAAGAGAAATGCTGAATTACATTTATATGTCGAAATAATCTTGTGATCAGATAATTTGATAAAAAGAAATAGTGAGTTCAGAACCATTTAATGCAATAGTAACGTGACGTCATCATTACGTCATCGACGATAAAAGAACAGAAAATCGAACCTCCTCACTGGGCTATAAAGAGTAAAAGTTTGCAAAAAGATGAAAACAACAGTATAAAAGTCGTGCCAGATTGCACACGTTCAAATCAGAGATCGAAGGAACACACACGTGTTTACTTAATCACCTACCTGTCGTGATGTGTGTATACACAGAAGGGTAAGGCGCTTTAAGTGGTAACCGATGAATTACCCAAACAAAGCAAACCTACCTCAGGATTTTACCAAATCCTACATAGGAACACGTCTTAAATACAAAAAATATATATCAAAAAACTGTCAAGATGGTACAAAGATATCTTTAAATAGATATATCACGTGCATATCCTATTGATGCGCGTGTTGTACAAGCTGACACGTGATAGCATGACTGATTGGGGATTTTTAACGTTTACACGTATACCTTTCTCCAAGTCTAAATTAAGACTTTAACTGTCAAATGAGCTGAATATTTCGACCCTTTCACCTATATCAGTAATGTGGGACGGCATAGATCTCTACACAGTCATAAACTTGTCTGTAGCTCATCCGGATCACATAAATTAGCAGTCATCGTATACGAAAGTATTACCAGGAAACGTTTGAAATGAATCTCTATCAGTACATCTATATATCATTAAATAAGACACATTTCTGCCGACGTGAAGATACTGATTACATTTTGGAGGCGTGCACCATTAATTACTGCTTTTAAATCCCAACTAAAAAGCTCCTCGGTGGGTAAATAGACAACTTTCATTTGAATGTGAGTCATCGATGTTATCATAATCTACATTATTTAAACTTTCATAAATATATCCTTATAAAATGTTATCAGCTGTATCTTAATAAATCATTCTTACATGCATCTTAATATATTGTTTCTTTTGTACCGTTATTCTCACCTGTATAATTATATAACTTCCTCTCGTGCATCATAATAAATGTTACTAAACTCACGTCATCTACATGATTGTTCAAACCACGCACAGATTAATAGCACCTTTCAACACGGACTAATTCCTTTTTAAAATTAACTTGTCTCGCACGTATCATCATAAATTATTCTGACATGTAATTTTATAAGCTAAATGTGCATGATTATGATAACCAACTGTTCTTTGTATCCCGTTTTGCCTCGGAAACTGTCTCGTACTTGTAAGCAAAATCACCGGCTTTCTCATATACTTAATGATATATTTATTCAGTACATAATATTGACAAATGTGATAACAATCTGCTCTCAGATATATCATCAGGTATACTTTAATGGAATATTCATCGTGTGTATTTCATAATTGTCAGCAATCATTCTTTATAAAGTTTACGCAGGAAGTAAGTATTGAATGACAAAAAACATTTCAAACGAAATCTATGAATTGTTCCGACAAGTTCGATAGTACGTACTGTTGATGTAGAAGGTGTATTTTATGCTCCGTAACTTTACCTGAGTGTGATCAGTTTTTACTATCGAATATTTTCAAAATCAACTACAAGTATGATAAAATAAGAAACCATTTTTAACTTTCCTGTCACAACGGAGTAATTGCAATTAAGGACAATAAAGACAAAGAGATAAATAACTTTTATTTAGAACAGACGTTTGGGCTGACTGACAGGTGTGATGTGTAATATTACCCAAAGAACCCCCATAGGAACATGCCAATCACCATAAGGAGGATTGCATTAACGTTGACGAAAACCTTCCATTTAGGTACCTCCCTGATATCCGTCAGCACGCTCTGTTTGGCCGTTACTTCTTCAGATTCAATAACCTCTTTCGGAGGTTCATATCCACATATAAGGTAGACGAACGACTTCCATCTTGAAATTTCAACTGCATCAAACAAAAGAACAAATAGAAACAACTGAGTTAAGTCAATTCCTCATATAAACTGAAGAAATTTTAACAAATAAATTATTCAACTTTGAATGATGAACAAACCTACACTATAATGAGGTGTCTGTTAACCAAACGTAAACATTTAAAGCTTGTGAAATAACGACGATGATGACCAAATGCATGATTTATAGGGCGTCTTAAACATGTAAACATAAAGACTGACCTTCTTTGGAATGGACCAAAATTTATTATGAGTTCATATTTTAAGCATTGTAATCTGTGATACAATATGTTGTTTAACTGGTTGGTTAAAATAATTTCGTACTACAAAGGAACTCTACACCAATAGAATAAACATATGTAAGTAATATTCCTTCCACCTGGCCTTTCTTTGAGCTCTGTAATCCGTTTTAGTCTAGCCTCTTCTGATATTCTGTTTGTCTCCTTTTCTTCCTCGAAAGGAACTCTTTCCATAGTGCTGTGTCGTGTCCACCACGTGAGTCTTACTAACTGTGGATGGGATGGATCGAATTGGATCGTTACTTATCATTTGACTGATTCATCTCTATTTAAGAATTTAACTGTTTTGTTATGGCATTTATGATCATTATAAATGATACATCGTTGCAGGCACACACCAAACTGCGCGCTGTGATTTTAAATTAAAATAATTTGTTTGCGACAGCGAAATCAGTGGAACAGTCATTTTGATGGCGGAGCATTCCCATAATGATGTTATGGGAATCACTTATCGTATCTAAAATTCACGTTTTATGTAGTCCAAAAGGTTTCATTTCATAAAGAATATTTAAATATTGAAGTGGCAGTGGTCTTAAGTGAAAAATATTCAAACTCTCTAAATAATGCTGAATGCATTTAAGTTTATGTTGGTGTATAATAACCACAATCCCGATAGAGACATACTGACTGTCTATTTCGACTGGTACACTTATCATTATGTCATAGCTGGAACACTCACGTGCTTAGGGTGGATCGGCTGAGTAAGTATTGATATAATGATAGTGGTAAACAGGCTAATGAAGAACAGGATGATTGTAAAGTGTAGGAAATGAACTTGTGATAAGAAACTTGGTCTAAATTCCTCTTCTCCACAGGCTGGAGACCCATAGCCGAAGTCTAATCCGAGACGAATTAATCCAACCAGAAGCCCTACCATCAAACCCCAGAAGGCCCCCTGAAATAAACGTATGAAAATGCTGAAAACTACATTGTATCATATGTTTCAATTGTAAATATATGTATATATATGTGTACCATAAATCAGATTTCAGCAAAACACCATATTTATCAATGAGCTTACTGATTCGTTGGTACGTGTCCAAAGCATTGCTAGCAGGAAAAGGGAGAGAACCGGCGGAACTAGGTATCCACTGACAGATTGAATGTAGTTGAAGAGTTGTCCTCCTTGAGATGCTCGAAGAACAGGAATCCATATTATACTCACAACGACGAGGACAAGCACAAATACTCTGGAAAAACAGCATCGTAATATTTTTTCCATCGCAATATGTGATCATGATTTAATAAAATTATGTCAATGCGACATTACCAACGTATGAATCGATTGACCAACTAGTGTTTAAATGCACATAATTTTCTGCATAAAATCTTTGAAATAAAATTAAAATGAAGCAACAGCATTTGTCATTTCAAAAGAATGTTATAGCGAATCTGTTAACATGACAAGAACATTTAAATTTCAACATGCTTTAGTCTTCTAGCTGATACTATCAACGAAACCTTAATTTGAGAGCACGCTACAATATAGGAAAAACTTTCGATACCAAATATGCGTAACTTGATAACAGATTTACTAGCAAACCAAATAAAAAGGAAACCCACCATGATTATCGCTATCCTTTGGAAGTTATCTAATTTAGAAGTAGTTTGAGATAAATATTAATGCGTTTAGAACAGATGTGATGTTTCTTCGGTGAAAAAAGATATAATAAATTATGCATTGCATAATAATGATGTAATACATCAAACTGAATTTTGCACTTTTAAAATAACACATCAATTAATCGAAAGAGGACAGAATACCTTCCCACGATAAGAAGCTCGCCATCAGACGACTTTGGACGAAGTCGCTTCCATATGTCTAAGGTAAATATTGTAGTTGTACTGTTAAATACTGACGAGAGGGAACTCATCAAAGCCGCCATCATAGCGGCTAGCATCAGACCCTTTAGTCCTAAATAACAAGATAGAATGATATGTGAACATGACAGCATGTAATAATCAGCTTTGCGCCGAGCATCAAAGAGGCGAAATTTTCTTAAAGTTTTTTTCAACTTTTACGATAATATGACCATAAAGAAGAAGAAAGAAATAATTATGATTACAGTTTGGAGATTAATATTGAGTTATGCAAATAAGATTTTATCTACTTCCCATTTTGGCTTGGTTTAAACTTACGGATAATTGTTCTATTGTAGGATATAACACGGATAATTGTATGTTCTATTGTAGGATATAACACGGATAATTGTATGTTCTATTGTAGGATATAACACGGATATTTGTTCTATTGTAGGATATAACACGGATAATTGTATGTTCTATTGTAGGATATAACACGGATAATTGTTCTATTGTAGGATATAACACGGATAATTGTATGTTCTATTGTAGGATATAACACGGATAATTGTTCTATTGTAGGATATAATACTATTGTAGGATATAACACGGATAATTGTATGTTCTATTGTAGGATATAACACGGATATTTGTTCTATTGCAGGATATAACACGGATAACTGTTCTATTGTAGGATATAACACGGATAATTGTATGTTCTATTGTAGGATATAACACGGATAATTGTTCTATTGTAGGATATAACACGGATAATTGTATGTTCTATTGTAGGATATAACACGGATAATTGTTCTATTGTAGGATATAACACGGATATTTGTTCTATTGTAGGATATAACACGGATAATTGTTCTATTGTAGGATATAACACGGATAATTGTTGTTCTATTGTAGGATATAACACGGATAATTGTTCTATTGTGATATAACACGGATAATTGTTCTATTGTAGGATATAACACGGATAATTGTATGTTCTATTGTAGGATATAACACGGATAATTGTATGTTCTATTGTAGGATATAACACGGATAATTGTATGTTCTATTGTAGGATATAACACGGATAATTGTTCTATTGTAGGATATAACACGTATATTTGTTCTATTGTAGGATATAACACGGATAATTGTATGTTCTATTGTAGGATATAACACGGATAATTGTTCTATTGTAGGATATAACACGGATAATTGTTCTATTGTAGGATATAACACGGATAATTGTATGTTCTATTGTAGGATATAACACGGATAATTGTATGTTCTATTGTAGGATATAACACGGATAATTGTTCTATTGTAGGATATAACACGGATAATTGTTCTATTGTAGGATATAACACGGATAATTGTTCTATTGTAGGATATAACATGGATAATTGTATGTTCTATTGTAGGATATAACACGGATAATTGTATGTTCTATAGTATATCCGGATAATTGTTCCATTGAAGGATATAACACGGATAATTGTTCTATTGTAGGATATAACACGGATAATTGTTCTATTGTAGGATATAACACGGATAACTGTTCTATTGTAGGATATAACTCGGATAATTGTATGTTCTATTATAGGATATAACACGGATAATTGTTCTATTGTAGGATATAACACGGATAATTGTTCTATTGTAGGATATAACACGGATAATTGTATGTTCTATTGTAGGATATAACACGGATAATTGTTCTATTGTAGGGATAATTGTTCTATTGTAGGATATAACACGGATAATTGTTCTATTGTAGGATATAACACGGATTATTGTTCTATTGTAGGATATAACACTGATAATTGTTCTATTGTAGGATATAACACGGATATTTGTTCTATTGTAGGATATAACACGGATAATTGTTCTATTGTAGGATATAACACGGATAATTGTTCTATTGTAGGATATAACACGGATAATTGTTGTTCTATTGTAGGATATAACACGGATAAATTGTAGGATATAACACGGATAATTGTTCTATTGTAGGATATATGTTCTATTGTAGGATATAACACGGATAATTGTTCTATTGTAGGATATAACACGGATAATTTTATGTTCTATTGTAGGATATAACACGGATAATTGTATGTTCTATTGTAGGATATAACACGGATAATTGTTCTATTGTAGGATATAACACGGATAATTGTATGTTCTATTGTAGGATATAACACGGATAATTGTATGTTCTATTGTAGGATATAACACGGATAATTTTTCTATTGTAGGATATAACACGGATACTTGTATGTTCAATTGTAGGATATAACACGGATAATTGTATGTTCTATTGTAGGATATAACACGGATAATTGTTCTATTGTAGGATATATCACGGATAATTGTTCTATTGTAGGATATAACACGGATAATTGTTCTATTGTAGGATATAACACGGATAATTGTTCTATTGTAGGATATAACACGGATAATTGTATGTTCTATTGTAGGATATAACACGGATAATTGTTCTATTGTAGGATATAACACGGATACTTGTATGTTCAATTGTAGGATATAACACGGATAATTGTTCTATTGTAGGATATAACACGGATAATTGTATGTTCTATTGTAGGATATAACACGGATAATTGTATGTTCTATTGTAGGATATAACACGGATAATTGTTCTATTGTAGGATATAACACGGATAATTGTTCTATTGTAGGATATAACACGGATATTTGTTCTATTGTAGGATATAACACGGATAATTGTATGTTCTATTGTAGGATATAACACGGATGATTGTTCTATTGTAGGATATAACACGGATACTTGTTCTATTGTAGGATATAACACGTATAATTGTTCTATTGTAGAATATAACACGGATAATATAACACGGTTGTTCTATTGTAGGATATAACACGGATATTGTAGGATATAACACGGATTGTTCTATTGTAGGATATAACACGGATAATTGTATGTTCTATTGTAGGATATAACACGGATAATTGTTCTATTGTAGGATATAACACGGATATTTGTTCTATTGTAGGATATAACACGGATAATTGTATGTTCTATTGTAGGATATAACACGGATAAACACGGATAATTGTTCTATTGTAGGATATAACACGGATAATTGTTCTATTGTAGGATATAACACGGATAATTGTTCTATTGTAGGATATAACACGGATAATTGTTCTATTGTAGGATATAACACGGATAATTGTATGTTCTATTGTAGAATATAACACGGATAATTGTTCTATTGTAGGATATAACACGGATAATTGTTCTATTTTTGGATATGACACGGATAATATAGGATATAACACGGATAATTGTATGTTCTATTGTAGGATATAACACGGATAATATAACACGGATATTGTTCTATTGTAGGATATAACACGGATAATTGTAGGATATAACACGGATAATAGTTCTATTGTAGGATATAACACGGATAATTGTTCTATTGTAGGATATAACATGGATAATTGTATGTTCTATTGTAGGATATAACACTGATAATTGTTCTATTGTAGGATATAACACGGATAATTGTTCTATTGTAGGATATAACACGGATAATTGTTCTATTGTAGGATATAACACGGATAATTGTATGTTCTATTGTAGGATATAACACGGTATGTTCTATTGTAGGATATAACACGGATAATTGTTCTATTGTAGGATATAACACGGATATTTGTTGTATTGTAGGATATAACACGGATAATAGTATGTTCTATTGTAGGATATAACACGGATAATTGTATGTTCTATTGTAGGATATAACACGGATAATTGTTCTATTGTAGGATATAACACGGATAATTGTTCTATTGTAGGATATAACACGGATAATTGTATGTTCTATTGTAGGATATAACACGGATAATTGTTCTATTGTAGGGTATAACACGGATAATTGTTCTATTGTAGGATATAACACGGATAATTGTTCTATTGTAGGATATAACACGGATAATTGTTCTATTGTAGGATATAAATAATTGTTCTATTGTAGGATATAACACGGATAATTGTTCTATTGGATATTGTTGTTCTATTGTTCTTGTTCTATTGTAGGATATAACACGGATAATTGTTCTATTGTAGGATATAACACGGATAACGGATAATTGTTCTATTGTAGGATATAACACGGATATAACACGGATAATTGTTGTTCTATTGTAGGATATAACACGGATAATTGTTCTATTGTAGGATATAACACGGTTCTATAATATAACACGGATAATTGTTCTATTGTAGGATATAACACGGATAATTGTTCTATTGTAGGATATAACACGGATAATTGTTCTATTGTAGGATATAACACGGATAATTGTTCTATTGTAGGATATAACACGGATAATTGTTCTATTGTAGGATATAACACGGATAATTGTTCTATTGTAGGATATAACACAGATAATTGTATGTTCTATTGTAGGATATAACACGGATAATTGTTCTATTGTAGGATATAACACGGATAATTGTATGTTCTATTGTAGGATATAACACGGATAATTGTATGTTCTATTATAGGATATAACACGGATACTTGTTCTATTGTAGGATATAACACGGATAATTGTATGTTCTATTGTAGGATATAACACGGATAATTGTTCTATTGTAGGATATAACACGGATATTGTAGGATATAACACGGATAATTGTTCTATTGTAGGATATAACACGGATAATTGTATGTTCTATTGTAGCATATAACACGGATAATTGTTCTATTGTAGGATATAACACGGATAATTGTTCTATTGTAGAATATAACACGGATAATTGTTCTATTGAAGGATATAACACGGATAATTGTATGTTCTATTGTAGGATATAACACGGATAATTGTTCTATTGTAGGATATAACACGGATAATTGTATGTTCTATTGTAGGATATAACACGGATAATTGTATGTTCTATTGTATAGGATATAACACGGATAATTGTTCTATTGTAGGATATAACACGGATAATTGTTCTATTGTAGGATATAACACGGATAATTGTTCTATTGTAGGATATAACACGGATAATTGTTCTATTGTAGGATATAACACGGATAATTGTTCTATTGTAGGATATAACACGGATAATTGTATGTTCTATTGTAGGATATAACACGGATAACTGTATGTTCTATTGTAGGATATAACACGGATAATTGTTCTATTGTAGGATATAACACGGATAATTGTATGTTCTATTGTAGGATATAACACGGATAATTGTTGTTCTATTGTAGGATATAACACGGATAATTGTTGTTCTATTGTAGGATATAACACGATAATTGATAATTGTTCTATTGTAGGATATAACACGGATAATTGTTCTATTGTAGGATATAACACGGATAATTGTTCTATTGTAGGATATAACACGGATATTTGTTCTATTGTAGGATATAACACGGATAATTGTTCTATTGTAGGATATAACACGGATAATTGTATGTTCTATTGTAGGATATAACACGGATAATTGTTCTATTGTAGGATATAACACGGATAATTGTTCTATTGTAGGATATAACACGGATAATTGTATGTTCGGATAATTGTGTTCTATTGTAGGATATAACACGGATAATTGTTCTATTGTAGGATATAACACGGATAATTGTTCTATTGTAGGGTATAGAACGGATAATTGTATATTCTATTGTAGGATATAACACGTATAATTGTATGTTCTATTGTAGGATATAACACGTATAATTGTATGTTCTATTGTAGGATATAACACGGATATTTGTTCTATTGTAGGATATAACACGGATAATTGTTCTATTGTAGGATATAACACGGATAATATTGTAGGATATAACACGGATAATTGTTCTATTGTAGGATATAACACGGATAATTGTTCTATTGTAGGATATGATAGGATATAACACGGATAATTGTTCTATATGATATTGTTCTATTGTAGGATATAACACAGATAATTGTATGTTCTATTGAAGGATATAACACGGATAATTGTTTTATTGTAGGATATAACACGGATAATTGTTCTCTTGCAGGATATAACACGGATAACTCTTCTATTGTAGGATATAACACGGATAATTGTATGTTCTATTGTAGGATATAACACGGATAATTGTTCTATTGTAGGATATAACACGGATAATTGTTCTATTGTAGGATATAACACGGATAATTGTTCTATTGTAGGATATAACACGGATAATTGTATGTTCTATTGTAGGATATAACACGGATAATTGTATGTTCTATTGTAGGATATAACACGGATAATTGTATGTTCTATTGAAGGATATAACACGGATAATTGTTTTATTGTAGGATATAACACGGATGATTGTTCTATTGTAGGATATAACACGGATACTTGTTCTATTGTAGGATATAACACGTATAATTGTATGTTCTATTGTAGAATATAACACGGATAATTGTTCTATTGTAGGATATAACACGGATAATTGTTCTATTGTAGGATATAACACGTATAATTGTTCTATTGTAGAATATAACACGGATAATTGTTCTATTGTTCTATTGTAGGGATATAACACGGATAATTGTTCTATTGTGATATAACACGGATAATTGTTCTATTGTAGGATATAACACGGATAATTGTTCTATTGTAGGATATAACACGGATAATTGTTCTATTGTAGGATATAACACGGATAATTGTATGTTCTATTGTAGGATATAACACGGATAATTGTATGTTCATAAAGTTGTAATGAGATTCCAGGACTCACCAGTGGTGCTAAGGGCCTAAAATTGTAATTAATGGAAATAACACGGAAAATTTGATGATTAAAACTACAAATATGATTTTAAATTATATTGGTAACTGTATGCTTATTTTTGTCCTAATAGATTGTTAAAACAATGCTATTATGTTAGTATCCATACTTATTATGTGTTATATTGTGTTATATCATATGTTATATGATATTTTGTTACATAGAAAAAAAATATATATACTCGATCATGAGTGGAGATTGTCATGAACTTATATCGCTTTTAACACGATAACATGAACATCAATATTATTTGCCGTGTTTTATTAAGTAAAAGGATGTCAACTTAGCGGCACCATCAAGCTTACTTAGCACCATTAAGACAAGAGATCCAGCCACCATTATAACCGTCTGTAATGTGTCCGTATACATCACAGCCTTCAATCCTCCTGTAAAATAATAGTAGTTATAGCATCAGGGTATCTTAGGCAAGGGAAACAATGCAAGACCTTAGACAAACATCAATGTATGACAAAATTGTTTATTAATATAACAACAATATAATTAGTATTATGTTGACTTTATTTCCCTTCTTTGATAAATCATCAAGAATCTTGTTACCGGGGTAATCAATACTATTGTAATAGTTTAAGATTATTATAATAAACAAGTATATAGATGACGTTGAGTAGTTTGATTTATGTTTTCAGCAAATGCAACTGACGGCGTTATCAAAAATAAAATCAGAATTCATGCTATTTCCTAGTTCCTAATTAGTGTACATTGCATTTGTAAAGATGTACATTTTTGTTATGACGACATTGAAATTACTTCACATTGTTTATATGCCGTCGGCACTGGTTGGTTTATTTTCGTAATTTTCGATATGTTGTATCTGTGAAGAGTTGTTTGTAATGAAAAAGTTATCACTAACATTCAATACCAAACGTAGATGTAATTTTAACATGAACGATCGAACATACCGTAAATCAGCTACAAAACATAAAGTGAAAAATCCAAGTAATATCAATGTTGATGAAACGGTGTCTTTGGAAAGAAGGAAGTTAACGCCCACGTGTTTACAAGATGTATTGCTTCTCATTGTAATACATCGAGCGGGATACTGATGTACCAACCTGAGACAGTATACAGAGCAGATATTCCTAACAACAGGAAAACTCCCGCGTATAGGTCCCATCCTACAGCCTGCTGTATGAATATTGTTCCCGCAAACATGTCAACCTAAAGATACAACTGACTAGGCTGGATACAAATGCGACATCAAATGTTCAAGGTCCAAAGAGAATGCAACGAATCAAGCAAGCTATTTCTTACATGTTTTGTCTATTACACACAGCTCCGGTTCTGTTTGTTTGCCAAAGGGAAGATATTTTAAAACAGTTTTAACTATTCACATTATACTTCAACAATTGGCCAACACGAAAGGTAACATTAACACTTCGTAGTCTATGATAACATAAATCTTTACTCAATCCTTCCCATGTTAACACTCAATCCTTCCCATGTTAACACTCAATCCTTCCCATGTTAACACTCAATCCTTCCCATGTTAACACTCAATCCTTCCCATGTTAACACTCAATCCTTCACATGTTAACACTCAATCCTTCCCATGTTAACACTCAATCCTTCCCATGTTAACACTCAATCCTTCCCATGTTAACACTCAATCCTTCACATGTTAACACTCAATCCTTCCCATGTTAACACTCAATCCTTCACATGTTAACACTCAATCCTTCACATGTTAACACTCAATCCTTCACATGTTAACACTCAATCCTTCCCATGTTAACACTCAATCCTTCCCATGTTAACACTCAATCCTTCACATGTTAACACTCAATCCTTCCCATGTTAACACTCAATCCTTCACATGTTAACATACATGTTTCATGTATTAAATAAAGACGTCTCTTTTATTTGAATACGGGTGATCGTTCATTAGACAATTTTTTAACGAAAAAATATACAGTATGGTTCAAGGTTCCTTACTTACGGATATTTTAGTGAAGACATATATGAGAAGCGATAATACTGCCATGTAGATCTGGAGACGTTGACCACCAAACCTTCTCATGAGGTACTCCGGTAAGGTGTATACCTGCAAACAGATATACATATATCTATAAATGGTATCTTTAGCATACAGCATATAAATAATTATCATTTACTTACAGAAATGAAGCTTTATAACGAGAAACAAAAAGTGCATCTCCCGTTTCTATCAGTGCCACACCTTTGGCAGTCCAATGCATGATCACATAAAGACAATACAACTGTAGAATACAACTTAAGTTATCATCTGACATATACTTGCTATTCGAAAAAAAGTGTTTCGTCAGGAAACTTCTAACAGCAATGGTGTCCAGACATACCCCGCTTGAAATGTAGATGGGTACAAAAAGCCATCCCAACAGCAGTAGACAGAACAATCCCTACAAATAGACACATATATCAATGGTTCATTTAGTTATTGATTTACTATCATGACCTTTCGGCAGATGAAAAAAGGGAAATTAGAAGGAATTAAGTGAAATTGAAAGCAGAGTAGAGAACATGAGAAGAAATGGAGTCGTATATCTCGCCAGTGAGTACTAACAAAATAAGTTCACAACAAGGCCACTATAATACAGTTATGAATACAAATGACGACCAAATTGGTGACATTTTATTTTATTAAATTAGATAGTGTCATGATATTAACACAAAAATTTAAGACTCAAATACAACATTACTTGATATAGATTTCAGTAAACTGTAGTTGTCATCTTAAGGGTACAAGAGCGGCTACTGCCTAATAGTCTAATCAGGTTGAAAAACATCGCCACAAAGACACTTCTAAATGAAGACAAAATGTCCTTCCCATTCAGAATACAGAAGAGGTTGAGAAGAGAAATCGGAAAGAGGTGAAGACGTTACTTGAATACCAACTATGTTTTACAAGGTGACCGTTACAATGTATAACTAAGCAGCACAAAATAAACTATGACAGTAAACCAGCCTAGTCATTGGATATCGGCTGAAGCAAAATAGTCATCAATGACAAAGTCCTTTTATGTACTCTAATATATGTAAATTCTAGCGTTATCTGTTGTTGATACAGTCCTTATAGTAACAAGGTTATGTCACTTACATGGCAACCATAGATTGGTACCTATATAAACATGATCTAAGATAGAAATAGGACGCGTGATTTACTAACATATAATTCTTTAGGCGGCGACGAAAGATACAAATGTATATATTTGCTGATAGAACGTATTTACGTAATTACAACACAAACTCAAATTTAATCAATAGACATACAGAAGAGGTAATACATGAAAAGCGAGCGAACAAATTAATACAAATTGAGCGAAATATGTGAGGGAGTAAATAAATGTGTGGTCGAGAATAGCAGATCATGTCAATATACTTAGAATTAAAATATTTCAAGTTTTTTAGGCATAGATTTCAAGAAAAAGATGCAAGGAATTGTGTTACTTACATTTAATTCATAACTAGCCACCGCAATTCCGTTTGCCGCTCCTGTTCCAGCAAGACCAACAAAGCTTCCGCTGCCAATGTTACTGGAGAACAGTGATGCACCTATCTATAAAGTAACAAAAGTGTACAGTTTTACTGCTTGAACTAGAAACTTATCAATAAATAATCCACCATTATTCATTAATATTAAACACTCTTATATTTACACGTTTTCGCTGAAATAACCGTTTTTAGGTAACCTAGATGTGAATCTATAGCGGTAACTTTCAATAAACATGGCGGTTTTGTTAGATGACAGACTTTGATATTTGATAATTACGGATGATTTTCAGTTCAAGATTTCCTAGAATAATTGCATGAAAATGCAAGTAAAATACCGTGTTTGGTTACATTAAGGGTATGTTTAATACCAATGTTGAAATGCTATCATTTTGTGTTTGTTTAATCTTTAATGATCATTGAACTGTCCCGGATTTTATTGTAGATACCGATGTTTCCAGTGGTGTAATTGTCATAGTGTTATTACAAATGTATACACATTGGTATCTTTACAACAGTAGAGCGAGACTACGCAGAACCCAATAAACGTTATAAAAATCAAATAATTATCGTGTCTTTTATGTCATTTACAAGTGTTTTTTTTTTTATCTATTTGCAACTTTGGGTAAACTGATATAATTGTGCTTAGTTCTTAGTTATTCTACATTAGGAATTTCCATAATATATTCATTAGATAAAAGATCTGTGTATATTTATGCTGTCAGGACCAAGTGTGTGTTTTTTTTTATAAAGTAAGGACAGGGAACATTGTGTTTACAGTGTACTACATTTTGTCTTACCGCAAACCACAGCATATCCCTGCCTGCTAGGAAATAACCGCTGACACTGCCTCGCTCTGTTCTGACGGTTGCCTACACAGGTAATATAAACATACTGAGACTCCAGGGTAATGTCGGATTACACTTCACGAATAGAAATGAGGAATTAAGTAAATAAAGAAGGCGTGTCAGAACATACTTTGAAATAAATTAACTTTGAATAAATAATTGTGTGAAAGCCAGTGGGTACGCCAGGTAAACAAAATGGTACTGACAAAGTTGCTAATATTAAAGAGTACTATACATAAATATCTTATTAAAAGAACAATAAGAAAAATCCCATTTCCCAGTTTCTTAGAATATCAAACTCATCAATACGCCATTTTTCAAAACTTAAACAATGAAAATTTAAACCGTCGAAATAATCCCTTAATGGATAATTCTGAAATTACGAAAAAAAAAACAAAAAAAACCGAAAACATTTATGATATAACGTATCTGATAATACGTTAGATAAATTATTAACAACCAACCAACTTGTTAAGCCATTAGTAATATAGCTTCGTATATTCCTCTACCTACACCTATTTATCAGGTATTGTCTGTGAATATCATTGAGTGAAATAAGTGTAAGTAAAAAAAGAAATATATATAGATGTATGTGCATATAAAATGTTCACCTTTTTAAACATCTATCTACAGGGCACATATCTATATAAATACCTTCATAACCAGTGACCTATATCAGTTCACAGTGTGACATGAACATTGTATTTTTGCCGTAGGAAATGTTAGGATAAAATTTTTTTCATTTTTTAAAAACAAAATCAGCCAAATATCCAAAAAGTAACGGAAACAAAAACCAATATTAAGAAGAATAAAACAACAAAATTAATTATCATGAGTTAATATACAGAAAATGACAAGAACTTTAAAAGTCTTGAAACTTACCCATATTCCTGTTGCTAGACAGAAGACGAGATATATAACGATCACAACGATATCGACGGTACCCAAAGTTGCTGATGAGAAAGCCGAGCCTGTTGCATTAGATGACATTGTTGTAATTGCTGTTTTTGTCGTTGTTGTTGATGATGTTACTACAGCTGTCAGTACCGTGTCGCCATGTTCTTGTTATCTGTCACTGCTGTGACAGTCGCATTCCTCGTATCGTAATAAAGGTTGTGTTGCTACAGAGTTATCAGTAAGGTCCCGAACGATTTACAATATATCAAAACGAAACATTGTTAATCCGTCCTACGTGAAATATACACAACGGAGGGCACTAACAGTTGTCGTCTACTTCAGTGGTGTACAGGTAACTGCTGCCTTCCTTTAAGGACGCCACTATTCACATCACGTGTCTATGTACCTAGGATCGTCCGCCATATAAACCACCAGTGTGTTTACACTAACTCGCCTATTACAAACACACACCATCACATCTTAATTCAGTGATAATATCCGATACATCTTCATCATACCCTTAAATATACTAGAAAGTTTGTCTACTGCTAGGCGCAATCTTTGAAAAGTAAAGGTGTCTAATAACCGCTACTTCCCTTAGATGTACGCTGACGGATACGGTGTTAATGTATGGAGCAAAAATAACGAAACCTTGTTATATGGCCTTTCTAAGGGTATGTTCATTTTAGCGTGACGAGAGACTTTGTCGATGACTCATTACTTAAGATTTTAATGATATGGTTTTTACAGCATCACATCCCACCTCTCATCGTTTAACTTTGGATCTATTGGTCCCATATTCCTATATACGACTGTTCAACTAAATCTGGCTCTCTATAGCTCGGTGAAGACTATTGGGTTCTGTTTTCTTCATGGTGATGTATCAGTATACTTTCCCGTTGACTTTGACGTTTGATCTGGTCCTTCTTTTAAAAGAATTATAGCATATTTGTCCATTTAAATTACAGCCTATTGGACAGCTCTTTTTTTTTGGAAGGTTGTATATTTTGCTCACTTTCACACTGATTTATATATTGGCCACGTGTCTTATTTGTCACGTTCTTTCGCATTCTATTTATCTACATGCACTTCTATCTAAAGTTACCCGAGGTGCAAAATTTGTTTATCTATTTTACTTAAATTTAAGGGCGGTTTGTAAACATACTTGTAGACATCTAATACATTGAAACGTTTACTTACAATCTATACGTTTACCTGTATATTGCCCTCTGGTTTAAAGTTTGTTTAGCATTTGATTTATACTTCTTAGTATCCCTTTCTAATTCATCCGAATAAAACCAGTTTGCATAACGTCATATATAAACGGATTATTAATCTTATTAACATTAATGATATTACTGAATACTAACACGAAACATCAATGATACTGTGATGATACTGCAATTCACTTAAGGAAGGAGTTGTCAATAGTTTAAATACTGTAATTCATTACAAATTACTTGTCAGTGTCATTTCTTGCATTTTTTCATAGATATCTCGGCTGCAACAATGTTATATTTACTAATGAAGGAAGGTCGCGTTAGAGGAAGCAATTAACTACAATATTTCACGGATTTCGAAGAAAACTGTACCAGAGAGCGGGTAAATCGACTGCATGATATGTTGGATTTACTTTCAGAATGAGCTAAACCCATTTGGTTTCTCATTATAAAAATAGAGATTGATATCTAGAATGAAAATAAAACACAATTATTTTGTCACAATTTTTAATCTTCTATTAACGATTTACAAAATAGATATTTCATTGTGACTGTAGATAAGTCATTAAGTACCTTGATCCTTGACTGCAGATAAAGATAACGAAGGAAACCCCATTTTTTTTATTTTATTAATTTTTTTCTAAGAAATGCTGCCTTACCATGCCAAATTATAAAAAAAATAAATATTGTCTAGTGATGGTAGCCTCCTGTATTTATATCGATCTCCTTGTCTAGTGATGGTAGTCTCCTAAATTTATACTGGACTCCTTGTCTAGTGACGGTAGCCTCCTATATTTATATTGAACTCCTTGTCTAGTGATGGTAGTCTCCTGTATTTATATTGGACTCCTTGTCTAGTGACGGTAGCCTCCTGTATTTATATCTAACTCCTTGTCTAGTGATGGTAGCCTCCTGTATTTATATCGAACTCCTTGTCTAGTGATGGTAGTCTCCTGTATTTATATTGGACTCCTTGTCTAGTGACGGTAGCCTCCTGTATTTATATCTAACTCCTTGTCTAGTGATGGTAGCCTCCTGTATTTATATCGAACTCCTTGTCTAGTGATGGTAGTCTCCTGTATTTATATTGGACTCCTTGTCTAGTGACGGTAGCCTCCTGTATTTATATCGAACTCCTTGTCTAGTGATGGTAGCCTCTTGTATTTATATCGAAATGCTTGTTTAGTGATGGTAGCCTCCTGTATTTATATCGAACTCCTTGTCTAGTGATGGTAGCCTCCTGTATTTATATCGAACTCCTTGTCTAGTGATGGTAGCCTCCTGTATTTATATCGAACTCCTTGTCTAGTGATGGTAGCCTCCTGTATTTATATCGAACTCCTTGTCTAGTGATGGTAGCCTCCTGTATGTATATTGGACTCCTTGTCTAGTGACGGTAGCCTCTTGTATTTACCTTGAACTCCTTGTCTAGTGATGGTAGCCTCCTGTATTTATACTGGACTCCTTGTCTAGTGATGGTAGCCTCCTGTATTTATATCGAACTCCTTGTCTAGTGATGGTAGTCTCCTGTATTTATATTGAACTCCTTGTCTAGTGACGGTAGTCTCCTGTATTTATATCGAACTCCTTGTCTAGTGACGGTAGCCTCCTATATTTATATTGATCTCCTTGTCTAGTGATGGTAGCCTCCTGTATTTATACTGGACTCCTTGTCTAGTGACGGTAGCCTCCTGTATTTATATCGAACTCCTTGTCTAGTGATGGTAGCCTCCTGTATTTATATTGAACTCCTTGTCTAGTGATGGTAGTCTATTGTATTTATATTGGACTCCTAGACTGCTCCAGAATCCCTTTCAACGGTGTTTTTAATTTTCGGTCGTCTTGTTGTTTCACAAAACCTTTTGTCGGATCTTCTTACTATCATTCTTAGTTCTATCAAACAAGGGTTACAGTCTTACTATGATTCTGTCTTCTCTAGAAAAAGGAAATAATGACAGATGGCTTTAGAGAACTCGAAAGGGCATATGACCAATATTTTAACATCCCCCTCTTCCTTAGAACTTTTGATTTTTAACTCTGTTCACCCCTGTAAACCATTCCAAACTAAAGGAAAACCTCCTTGTTATGCGAGCTTTCTTTTCCAAGAAGATTAATCTACTAGAGCGTAACTTTTGAAAAGTACGTCAAATCAAACGAAATCTACCAAGGATGGAATAAAAAAGTGATCGGATTTCTTGTTGACAATCTTTCGTTGAGTTTTGCAGTAAGATCATCAAACAGATTATAAGCCTACCTTTTCTTGACTGACTTGTTTTCGTTTTCAAAGGAGTGTTGATTTAACGAGGAGCTGATCAAAAGAGGTTATGAAGACCTTGCGAAGGCACTCAATTTCACTTTTAAATATATTGATGATGCATTGTATATAAATAACAAGATATTTTGATGACAATGGTCATCGTTTGTACCCACCAGAATTGGAAATCTAGGACACGACAGACTCTTCTACATCAGTCGTTTATCTTTTCCCACAACGAACCCGACAGTGACAACTTTCCAACAAGCTATATGAGAAGCCTGGGGATTTTCAATTTCCATATTGTGATTTTTTCATTTCTAAAAATAACAACGTTCATGCACCCACAACCAATAGCATTTACATGTCGCAATTGATTTGATATTTTAAGGCTTTTAGTCCAGTACTATTAATTTCGTGGAAGGTGTCAGCAAGTGTCATACAAAGTCATAATACAGGGCTTCGAGAGATTCAGGTTGGTGATAGTTACAGGGGAGTTTTCGGTAGTTGCAGAAACCTCATTGGGAAATTAACTATAGGCTAAAACTTACATACCGGACGTCATCGATGAAGCATAAGACGCTTTCTCTTCCTGAACACTTGAACTTATTCCTTTTCATGAGTCTCTGAGTATTCTTTCTTCTGTTTATTTTAAACGAATTAAGATTATCCACATACCAGGCTTCTAGTATCAGATAAATGTAAACTGTATAATGGATTTATATTGGTTTGGTATAAACGTTTTGTGAAATGTTATTATGTGTTTAAAAATGCTATTTCATAATGTTTTGTCTTTCGTTCTATTTCAGCCGCTTAATTTGACGGCTCTTAACATAGAAATTAATAAAAAGAGTGTTAACCACAACCGAATCTGCATGTACTAATGTTAAAGTGTGAAATGGAAATGTCACTGATGTTAAGAACAGGAGATTTCGTCCGACATTAGATTATAAATAAGAACTTCACTGAAATTATAATATCTAAGGAAAATCCATCTAATCTTTTATCTCATAATTAAGTAAATAACACCAAGAAGAATGAGAACAAGTGTTCTGGTTAATATACATTTTCTTATTCAAAATGTTAAAATTCCAATTTGTTTTTAAGTTGACATGCTGGGTTACTTCAAATATATAAAGACAAAAAAGAATTAAAGCAAATGCTTTGAGTTCTAATCAGCTTTAATAAGGTGGCCAGTGAATGATGGGAAGTACTGCCCGCGGATATAGTCACCACTTGACGATCTATGGCGAACCCATACATCACTACCGATGTTTAAGTGCACATTGGAAGCACAGGTTCCCATAGCGTTGTATGTCTGGGACGCCCGGGCCCGACAGAGCAATGTACCGTCACGAACAAGCTCAATTTCAATGTAGTGTGTTTGATAAGACATAATAGTGACGACGAAATGATAGTATCCAGCCACTGGAGCCATGAAACGGCCAATGAACGGGTCGTATCCTCCGCCTACTTTTGTGATGACATTGTCGAAGATGATGACTTCGTTGGAAGCTATTGGCGTCATGTCACTGTAAATAGTTGCTGCGAATGCCACGAAAGGAGTAGTGGCTCTTGTCTCTGTAATACATAGAATCTGTACATAGACTTGAATATTCCATATTTTAATTTCATACATATGGGCGAGATATATATATACGAGTCTGCAGCAAATATTGAAAGCCAGTGTAACATAAGGGTAAAACGAAAGGCAGTTGCATGCGGTAAATAGCCATCAAAAATCATTATAAATTTATAGGTGTTAAAATTGTAGCTTGAGCACAATTCTGTGGACGACAGAGGTGTTAGGATATATGAGGTCTGCAGTTTACATTTTCATAAATATTATAAATATGATAAATGTCTTATATTTATTCAACGAAAAACGAAGCTAATTTGCAATAATATAAAGTTTGTTCTGAAGCATGTAATCCGAACATGGTTACACCTTTTACTTGATAAATGTGGGATACACTCGTTATAACATAATGTAGATTGAAGTACGCATGATAAAACGGGTTAAAGTGTCTAGTAACAGGATTTTACTTCTTCTGAACACGGTTTCTATCAGTCGGAACTTTTGAAATATTAACCGTATTCTAGGTTCATATCAATATGTATTAAACGAAATGCATTGTTTGACAAATATATCTGTATTTCTTGTCATATATTGTATATTATTGAATTGTAGAATTTCACATCATAGAAACATTCATTTATCGCAACATATTAACAAATGATTAAATACATTACCACGAAACCTTCCTACATCTGTGTGAGACGAGTTGTCTCCCTGAGAACATGGACATTGCGCCTTGATCTCATTCAGCTCTGCAGTAACCTTCTCCAGCTGAGCTTCAAGTTTGCTAAGTCGATCTTCATTTGAAAGTCTACCAAAGACACTTGTCAACGTAACCAGTACAATTAAAACCTTAACACAAAGACTATAAGTTGCCATGTCTCCCTGCTGTCAACAAAGTTCTCAGTGAAGTTACATCAAGCACTAATGAGTCGAGCAGGTGACGCTGACACCACGGCCTCGATCTGAAGTAGGCGTATGCAGAGATAAGGTTTAAGTCTGGACTAAACCAGAGGTCAATATACATATGTGTTACATTTCAATAATACCTATCAACATGGCTTCCTATACAGCGATTTGGTGCTGTGTCGCAGTTTTAGTGGTAGTAGGAGTAAACTGTATGGAAAATGAAGAAAACTTAATTAGAGAGAGAATAGAAAAGTTGGAAGCATTAAATGATAATCTCAAACAACAACTTAATGGTCAAAAAATCGTTTATAATGATCTTCTAAATGAGTTGGCAACGTCATCGGATTTTACAGTAAGGGACAATGATCATCAAAAGAGACAGTCATTGAGTAAGTACATCTTCTTTTTTTTTTTTTTTTTTACTTATCTTTTGTTTACCATCTGCATGGAAAATAGGATATAACATCGATAATAATGATCAACAATAATGATGATCAGTTGATAATGATAAACTGCATAAAAGCTTGCTTTTCAGAGATTCAGGGGGGGGGAGGGGTGGTTCTTGTTTTTGGCTTCCATTTTTAATATCTTCAAATATATCAACTGTGTTTGAATTTCCAAATTTGTTTTTCATTTTATTCGACAGCATGTGATGGTCCTGTGGTGTTCCATGCCAGACTTCAGAATTCCATTTACCCTATTGGAACCAATCAGATTATTGCCTATGAAGACGTTGTCACCAATGTTGGTAATGGGTATGATTCATTTACTGGTCTCTTCCGGGCGCCAGTAGGGGGAGCTTACGAATTCGTCGCTACCATGTGGTCGTCCGACGGCAATTATCTGGAATTTGAAATGGTTCGAAATGGTGTGGACTTGTGCTACGGAAGGGCTAGTCAATCAAACCAGACCATGGGAACGTGTGTTAGTATGGTGGAATTGTCAGCTGGAGACAGGGTATGGGTCAGGCATCTCAGTGGCAGGGGTACCTATGCCAACGGTGCGGACTATCCATCTTTCGTTGGTCATCTTATCGTATAAATTATTTACGTAAACAAAATAAACAAACTGTCTTTCCACTTATTGTTCTATAATTTGTTGGTAGTGTAAATGAAAGCGATATTAAAAGTGTTGAAAAAATGAAATAGCAAGACGATATATCTGTAATTATTGATCAGCATTGTATGTTCATCATTTTGATAATCAAGACTGTCATAGTTTATTTTCTGTTTAAACATATATCCTTTTATGTAAGTGTGATGGCCACAAAGATAAATGAAGAGTTAATGAAATTAATTCCAATGCTGTATAGGAACCAACCAACATGAATCAAAGCATGTGTTATTCACCGAAAATAACTTCTCATCCATGGCGCTACATAGGTAGCAGGAAACAGTCAATTTGCATTTTTTTTCTGAAATCATTGGTCATGTTTGAGGTATACAGGTATAGCAGTTTGGTTATGAAAATACATCCTTACATGACTGATTTCTGTGATTGCCATGGTTACCATCTCTAAAAATGCTACAAATGAAAAAATACTGCTAATTTCAACCTAACACCACAACTTTATAGAAGAAATTTATTTCTGTAGACCTGTTTTAAAATCAAGAACAATGGGGTAACCTAATGAACAAATATATCACCTTTGGCCACACCGAGAAACAGTGTACTGCTTCCATAGTATTATTCTCGTTGCACTGTTTCCGAGATTCACCTTTAAGTCTTTCTTTTGTGCATATTTTGCCATAGTTTCATCGACTTTTAGTTCGAATTCAGAACAATACTGATGTTTCCAGTAATGGTACTCAGATGATATATACAAATATCTCTTGAACACTAGGAGACGGTTTTTCTAAACTCACCAGTATCACACTCATAACTCGTGTTTCGTTAGAAAAAAAACGACGCAGAGTACCTCAAACTCGCTGTCGTATAAGAGTACTTTTAGTACTAAACTGCCTCGTTACAGTTTGAAAGCTGAGTGTACACTTTCGTCCATTCGCCGTATTATGAGCGGTCGTCAAGGCTCGCTTGCTGTTGGATTAAGAACTGCTTGACTAATTATTGTCGCTGATCCTAATGATCCTGATACAACATGTAAGATGTCGCTGAGGTTGGCTAGGTTATCGTGTGTAAATAACCATTCAGGGAATCCTTTTGGCACCAAAGACACCACCAAGATGGAAATCCATCCTATAGTCTTAAATCGGACACAATATGTTTAGAAAAAGACGTTTTGATCAGATGGTTTAACATTTCTTTCAGCCCGAAGTTCAAAACGTGTAAAAGAAATTCAACAATGTTTCATATATTTACTTACATTTCTTAGCATTTGGTTAATTTTGATATTTCTATTCAATGAAAGGCAGTTTTGATGATGTATTTGCCAATTCCAGGCAAATTAGTAGAAAGCAGTATTATTTTGAATAACCTATGCATAAACGGAATGCTTTTCTGAAAGTTGGTGAGGAAATGACATTAGAAAAGTATTTCTTTACCTTTATTTTCTAAATTGTGTTAACAACATTTAAACATAAAGTTCAAATTTAAAGATCATTTTAATTTGAGTATATATTTACAATAATGATTGAGAATAATTGTATCGATCTTGATAATTACCATCTACTAACAACCAAAATAAGAGGGAGTTTTACCACAATCGTTATATAACAGATACAGAAAGATTGTTTCCTTAACGTTTATGTGTATCGACCTTACGATTTGTTTTTGAAAAATCTTAAAATCATATAGGTATCCGACACTGAAAATGGACTTTGGTAACAGGCTCAAATATTCTGAGCAGTCGCCTATTCACGATCAGCTATCTACTGCTTTTGTATATTAATTCCAAGAAATATCAGAAATGCTAGAAATATACCTGGAAGAATAGTTGTTTGTTGTTGAATTACTTCACACTCGCTTCACGTCCTATGCGAATTGCATTATAAGCATGCCTTAGCTTAGAAGTGAGATTCCCGATATCAAATGCTTTCGATTAATTACTATTGTTGATTCACTTGAATCATTTTACTATTTTTACTCAGTACCTGCCCGTTTATGGAAACGTTAAAGAGTGTTGTCAATTTTATTTTCATAATAAATTAAATTTCCTTCATAGATGTATGTGATTTTAATTTCATTTCACCTCATATTTATTTTCGGAGAACTTTCACAAATAATGAGTATCATTACAAGCAAGGATAAAGTTCTTGAGATTTGCCACAAACCTGCATGCTTATTTTGCGTTGTTTTAAAAATCAATTAGCAGAAATAGGTCATTTACTTTAAAACAATGTAAAGCAGTTGGATGTTAAAACTCAGATATGCTATTGATCATAACGGAAGTACAGCTTACATTCTGTTTATCAATATTTAAGGCGAATTTCGATTTTTACAATTTACAGATATTTCCACACTTTTGATTACCCTGTACAATCACTGATGGATTTTAGCTGACTAAGAACACATGGATAACGCATTCATATTTATTGACGTGGTACATGCACTCCATTTAACATTTCTTACATTTTTGAAAATGTCTTTTATATTCGCATGTTTTTTCTAGTATATCTAGATAATCCGGTCATACCAAGGATTTCAATTAGTGAAACCCAAACTGACCTGAGTTTCTATCTAATCTAACTTATGTTTACAAACAGAAGTGCTAAAATATGATGAAAGTGATATTTTACAAGGACGGAAAAATAAGACTAGATGTATTTGTATATCGAGCTTATCGCTGGCCATTCAGGTGATATACAATTTACAGAAAATGCCTAGTAATAACCTTCATGAAAAGGTTGATAAAAATTAAAGGGAAGTTTTATGGTCGCCATAGTAATCTCATTGAGAAATATTTTATTTCTTTGTGTGACAAGAAGCTGGATGCTTGTTAGTTTGTTCCGTTGTTGTATACCTTGTTCTCAATTGAGAACGTGACATTACTAACTTGGATTGACCAATCTTAACATTGCGGGTGACGTCGATGGAGCAGAAGACGCTTATTCTTCCTGAATACCTGGAATCATTCACCTGTACTTTTTCAGGAGTCTCCGTGTAAATCTGTCTTTTGTACATATTTTGCCTTAGTGTTATGGAATTTGAATTTGAATTATGAAAATGTTGCCATGTTGGTATTTTCCTTCACCAGATATGATCATTAAGTCCAAAAAAAATTACGAAAACAAACTAATGAAGGTTTAATCAGCCTTTATAAGATGACCAGTGAAGGACGGGAAGTATTGCCCGTGAACATAGTCACCACTTGAAGACTTATGGCGGACCCATACATCACTACCAACTCTCAGGTACACATTGGAAGAACATGCACCCATACCGTTGTATGTCTGGGACGCCCGAGCCCGACAGAGCAGTGTACCATCACGAACAAGCTCAATTTCAATGTAGTGTGTTTGATAAGACAAAATAGTGACGACGAAATGATAGTATCCGGCCACTGGAGTCTGAAAACGGCCAATGAACGGGTCGTATCCTCCACCTACTTGTGTAATGACGTTGTCGAAGATGATGACCTCGTTGGAAGCTATTGGTGTCATGTCTCTGTAGATAGTTGCTGCGAATGCCACGAAAGGAGTAGTGGCTCTTGTCTCTGTAATATGAAATTGATATAAAGACTTTTTGTTAACTATGTAATCATCGGCAGGAAACTTGCTTGTAAAGATAAATACAAATTTATCTTTGATTTTGCATACACTTGTACATTTACAATAGTTGGTTATTGAACTTTGTTGTGTTCGCAATCTTATCAAAAGCATTGACGATGATATGTGAACAAAAGTTTGAATATATTACCGTAGAACTTTCCCTCGCCTGTATATGAAGAGTTGAGATACCATGGACATTGCGTCTTTATCTCCTTCAACTCTGTAGTAACCTTCTCAAGCTGGGCTTCAAGTTTGCTCAACCGATCTTCATTTGATCTACCAAAGGCGATAGACACTGTTACCAATAAAAGGATAGTAAGACAAAGACTAAAATTCAGCATGTTACCCTACTGTCTTGTCTACAGAGCTGTAAGTAAACTTTTTTGGAGTTCCAAGTACTCCATACTTAAAACATGACCTCGATCTGAAATAGAGGTTTGTAGACAAAGATAAGGTTCAAGTCAGGACAAAACCTGAGGTCAATATATGTTTTTGTGTCAATGATATTAATCAAACATGGCTTCCAAGACAGCAGCATGGTGTTTGGCCGCCCTTTTAACAACAGTAGTGGGGAACTGGAAAGAAAATGAGGAATACGTTATAAGAGAAAGAATAGAAAAGTTGGAAGCATTAAATGATAATCTCAAACAACAACTTAATGGTCAAAAAATCATTTATAATGATCTTCTAAATGAGTTGGCAACGTCATCAGATTTTACAGTAAGAGGCAATGATCATCAAAGGAGACAGGCATTGAGTAAGTAGGCCTTGTCTCAATTTCACTTAAAATTTGACTGTTGATTTATCGTATGATGTATGTTTAGATATATATTAAATGAAACCTGAATACTACAATGGTTTCATATTCTGATGCTTTGTTATGCCATTACACTAAAACGGGTTTAAAAAGTCATGCATTTTAAAAATACATCTTTGAAAACGCTGATTTGATTTGCGAGTATAACCTTTTGGCACAGTTATGTAAAATACAGCAAAGCCACACAATGAATTAAACTGCATCATACTGTCATTATTTTTAACCTATGAAACAACTTATTTTTAACAGAATTCCTTTTTATTTTATTCGACAGCATGTGATGGTCCTGTGGTGTTCCATGCCAGACTTCAGAATTCCATTTACCCTATTGGAACCAATCAGATTATAGCCTATGAAGACGTTATCACCAATGTTGGTAATGGGTATGATTCATTTACTGGTCTCTTCCGGGCGCCAGTAGGAGGTGCTTACGAATTCATCGCTACCATGTGGTCGTCCGACGGCAATTATCTGGAATTTGAAATGGTTCGAAATGGTGTGGACTTGTGCTACGGAAGGGCTAGTCAATCAAACCAGACCATGGGAACGTGTGTTAGTATGGTGGAATTGTCAGCTGGAGACAGGGTATGGGTCAGGCATCTCAGTGGCAAAGGTGCCTATGCCAATGGTGCGGACTATCCATCTTTCGTTGGTCATCTTATCGTGTAGATTGTTTACGTAAATAAAATAAACTATTTCTCTGTATTGTTCTGAATTTTGTTGTCCGTGTAAATGCATGTGATTTTAAATATGAAAATCTTAACAAAGCAGTATCAATAGTTTTCATTTACATACAATCTACCTGTAAATATATTTGACGTTTACTGTTGATAATCAAGGCTGTCATAGTTTATTTTATTTTAAACACATATCCTGGTATGAAGATATGAATGATACATCATGAAAACCTAATTATTGCACATCCTTGGTCATAAAAGAACGTTTTTGTGTGGTTTAAAGACGTCCCTGACCCGCCTCTGTTCAACTATCCCCTTCGCTCGATTTTTGGATTGCACTTTCCATATAATCCATCAGATTCCCATAAAGCATGCGAAGAAAAATACAACATGTTTTGTTACTTTGTCACATATATTATATAATCTTCGCTCAGTACAAAAGTTTTCTTACGACTCCTCAGTGATTCCGACGGCCTATATAGTTAAACCTAGGAGACGACGATATACATATAACGATAAACAAATTCCATTTTAGATATACATGTGAAAAAGCAAAATGACAAAATTGTTATTGACATCTATCATAAACCAACGGACACTCTTCAATATTTACTTTTTGGATCTTGCCATCCAGGACACATGGCACGTGCAATCCCGTACAGCTAGACACGAAGGATCATTACCATTGTCAGCGAACAAGTCAAAGGGGAACGTCTCAACGAACTCTAAACGTTTTTGAATCTACAACATTACCCAAAAAAATAATAGAAGATGGCATAAAAAGAGCTGAAGAACTTAACAGGACAGCATTATTACAACCCAGAGAAAACGAAAAAGATAGCTCACTAATAATTCCATTCGTTTCGAGACATAACCCAAGAAATAAAAACTTAAGTCGAACAGTAAACAGTTTAAATGAGATACTGAAACAGGATGAACAAATTAAGGATGTATTTGCAGAGGCCGAACTTATCAATAGTAAAAGACAACCAAAATGTTTGAAGCGGATCTTGTACAAATCAAAGTATTAAGAACAGCAAGAATATAAAGTGGTTAAGTGTAAAAATCCACGCGCTATGGTACATGCGAGTATATAATGGAAGGGAAGTCCTTTAAATTCGGAACAAAGGAGTTCAACATAACCTGTAATATGTTATGTTATACAAAAAATGTAATTGATGTGATAACATGCCCTGGTTGCAAGGAATTTTACATTGGGGAAACGAGCAACACCTTGTAAGCTCGCGTACGTGTACATAAACAACATATAAATGCACCACAATATCGTCAAATTAAGTTAAACGAACATTTAGATATATGTGAAAAACAAGAACTTTCTATGTAAATATGTAAAACATCTGTGTTTTCCAGTGTTTTAACTTATATTTAAATATATATATATATATATTGTGTATGTATTTGGGAGAACCCATCGTACTTGATAATTTGTGTGTTTGTGTCCGACGTGTAGTGAAAACAAAATATATGAAATCGACAACTGCATCCCGCTTTCAAAATTGTAATGTTTTGCCTTAGTAATGCGTGTAAAGAGAAAAAAAATAGTATCTCATTCTAGCAAGAACTGACGACAACTGACGATGTCAAAAGTGCTGTGCCATACAGTTAAGTCAATCATATGGTCATGCTACATCTAATTAATTGTATTAAAACATATTATTAGGTGTGTTGTCTTAAGAACAATCTTTTGCAAGTGGACATTAATGGAGAGATTTACCGTTACCCAGAATGCAATGTTCACATCATTCTTGCAATCATCTAATATTGAAAGTTTGGAAGTCCATTATATAAAAGTGTACCTCCTCATCTATTAATTCATTAATTATGACATAGGTTTCCAACATTTTAAGTCTCTAGCATTACAACAAGTCATTTTCTCTGCCATGTAGACATACTTATCTAAAATGTGCTATCTGAATTAAAGGATTCTGGTGTCAGTGCCAAACGCAAAATTTTGCCCGTGAGTCAGGGAAATATTGTCATTGCACAGGACTATTTCACTTGCCTTCCAAGCATAGGTTTTTTTCTGGATAAATTAGATAAAATGAAAGAGATTAAATGCCATGTATCTCGTGTAAATTCAGGATTACATCGTTAATTATTACGTATGACCATAACTTGAATGCAATACTAACACTTGAGTATAGATGATTAATTAATTAATAATTAATTCAACATTTCATAATATCTTCTATATTTACGTTAAATATATATATAGTGCATTGTTTTATAATGATGTTTGGTTCAACGTTTTCTTTTATTTTGCTAATTTATGTCTGCAAAAACAAGGTTATATTCAACCTGCAACTTGTCATTATCATTACTGCTCATGTTATTGATATCTTATGTAGTATATGTTGTTGATCTCTTTGCTAGTTGTAGTAAAATGTTCTGTCACCCAAAGCTTGATGCATAAGGGATATATTATTCGATAAACCATGTAAGGGACTATTGCTTTCTCTAGTGATTTTATTTCTGCAATATATAATCTGCAGTCTTATTCCGACTTCGAAATTAACCGAATTGCAGTATAATGCAGAAAACAGAATATCATAAACAGTGCATGCTGATATATATATAATCGGATAAAAACTGATAAACTTGTTTTCGTATCAAAGAAATACATGTTGATATATTGGACAAAAGTAGGTACATCTCCTTGTCCTACTTCAAAATAACGATGCTTAAACTGATCGAAGAAAGCGGAGTCGATGGAACACAAGTAGAAACCTTATCCTGTCAGCAATCAGTAGGATGATGTCTTATCGATGTTAAGTATGTTGTGTAGGTCGAAAGACACAAGTGGGTTCACTTCCTTGTCCTAAATCAGTTTGGTGATGCCTTATCTGTTTAGAGTAAGCGTGGGTCGAAACCATATGTGCAGACAACTAGCAAATGGACAGATTCAGATTCAAACAACCAATCAGGTGATTTCATTTTGCAGAGGTCAAACATTTCCGTAATACGAGAAACACGAACAGGGAAGAAAACCTTTTGTCCTCATCAGTCTGTGTCACAGTACCAGCTGTTCGGTCACATATTTCTTCACCGACTTTCAACTTAGGTCAAATAGTATATGAAGGTCATATAAGTGATTAGCACCTTTAATTATAGATAAAGTATTACATACAACGTCTTATTGATATCAGATGTGCATGTAAAACGGCGCTCTATTGTCATTTTGTTTCACTTATTATTTGAAGCTGACGAATCATCAATAACTTTAACATGCCAAGCTCTTCTAAATGTTACATTACCAAATATAGATCGGATTAGTATTTATGTTGTACTTTACTATATAATTAATAAGATATTGTGTGACTTTAAAATGGGTTAATTACTTTCATAATAAATGTATGTACTATAAACATTGTATAGAAGACATACATGTGAAAATCACCTTTCAATTCAGTAATGTAGAGCTAAATGATAAATTATAATTAGTTGAATTAAATGTACACATGTCGCAGTTGATTCGACAGTCAATGTCCTGTTCACGTTATCACAATTTGCGTGCAAATAGTTGTCAGCTGTCGAACAAACTCGTAACGAAGTTTCAAATGACGCAGGTTGATAATGATTATGGGAATGTTTTATGGTCGCCATGGTGATCTCATTGGAAAATATTCTATTTCTTTATGTGATGTGAAGCTAAGCGTGCTTGGTACTTGTTAGTTTGTCTGTTGGTTCCGTTTTTATATACCTTGCTCTCATTTGAAATAACGTACTCGTATTGACCATGATTAACATGGTGGGGGTCGTCGATAAAGAAGAAAAGGCTTTCTCTTACGAAACAACTGGTCTTATTCCTCTTGTAGCTTTTCATGAG